TACCTGTCTTATGTGGCTTATTACATGAGATTGGTGTGTGTGTGTGTGTTTATTGAAATGGTCTCATGTAGCCCAGGATGGCTTCAGATTCACTATATGGCTAAGGACAGTCTTGAACTTACCATGCTTGAGCCTCTACCTCTCAAATGCTGGAGGTACAGGCACGTGCTACTACACCCAGTTTATGTAGTACTGGGGATCAAACCCAGGGCTTCCTGTCTTTTAATCAAGTGCTCCATCCACAGAGCTATACCCCCGGTCCCTTTGTAATTATGTTACCTGCTGAGTCTTTCTGGAATAGCCAGACTTCCTCAGTCATCCAGCCCTAAAGAAAAGGAAACAGACCTGAGTTTCCAGGTTCAAGCGTTTCAAGCCACAGATCACACATTGTGCTATAAAATTTCTCTGTGCCTCCTGACCTAGTGTCAGTGTACTTTGAAAGTTGCCTGTTGTCATTATTGGGTTTTGGAGGTCACTCCAACTGCATAGATACTCCCTTGGAACATGTTTTCAACTTTTCCTGAGCAGCAGATACAGAAAATAAATAGCCTATGGTCTCATGAAAAGGAACTGTGGGGCAGGATCTTGTCGCGAGCTCCAGGCTGACATCCTCATATGTGGGCAGAGTGAGGTCTTTGGTTCCTTTAGGGTGGCCTTTGAACCCCTGGCCCTTGGGTTGATTATAGAGTCTGAAGCCGAAGCCTCCTTTGTATGGTTAGAGAAAGCTACAGTCCTGGCAGCTCAGCAGAACTTGGTTGCTAGGCAGCAGACCTTTAAAGACAACCAAAAGAGAAGAGTAGTAAACATTCATAGTCTAAGCAAATTGCTTGTTTTCCAGCCCCTCAACTTTCTTGCCACAGCAAGACTTCTGTTCATCGGTATCTGTTTTATTCTATATTTAGTTTTCATAAATTATTCAAAGGAGTTTTAGGAAAATCATTAAGCTTTTTTCCAAGCTTAACCTCTGGTAGTTCAAACAAAAAGATATGCAGGTTAGGAAACAGGCCACTGAGTACCCTGCAACTGAGACCGAAGTGTTGAGCCGTTCAGACATCTGGAGTCAGCACCTAGCATGTGCCAGGCCCTGTGTGCATCACTGAGCTCATGTATCAGGGAAGATGTATCAGGAAACCAGGCGATTCCAATAACCGGGACTTTGGCAGTGTAGACAAAGCCCAAGACCCAGGCAGAGCTTCCTAGGATCTCTGAGGGCCAGGTTGGGGGTGGAAGGGATATGAAGCATGTTGGTCCTACTTTGACGTGGGAGATGTGCAGAAGGTAAAAAAAAAAAAAAAAGTGCTTGGTTGACTGACTACAAGGACAATTGTGCAGCCACAGGACCTGGGAAACTTCTTTAGTCACCACACCTGTTGCTGACAAAATAAAGGAGAACGAATTCAGTTGTGGTCATAGGAGCTTGAAGTGGGTGGTCACCTTACATTTATAGTAAGAAGCAGAGACAGATGGATGCTAGTGCTTAGCTCATGTTCAACTTTTTTTTCCTCCCATTTTGCCATTAGTTTGCCTGTTTAGCCCTGGCTGTCCTGGAGCTCACTCTGTAAACCAGGCTGGCCTCAAACTCAGATCTACCTGCCTCTGCTGGGATTAAAGAGTGTCTTACCATGCCTGACTCACTTTCAACCCTTTTATTCAGTTTGGGACCCCAGCCTGTAGAATATTGGCACCTAGAATTAGCATGGGTTCTGTCACTTCAATTAACCTAATGGAGATCATCCCTCAGAAGCATCACAGGTGTGTTCTAGGTGACTGTATTCACACGAAGACCCTCTTGTGGGAAGCCACTGCAGGATTTGGTGCTTCTAAAGGCCTCCATTAGATTTGCATATTCTTCTTTGGGAATCCACCTGATTTGTCTTCGGGCTAATGCAGAAGTACTACTGAGCAGTCCCCTGTATCCCAAGGGTGTGGGGAGATGGTGGTGGAGGTGTGGTGGTACCACCCACCTCTTGGACTTAGTGTAGGACTAATAGTGAGTATAAGAACAGCTCTCTCTGAATGTGCTGGCACATCCATAAATCAAGAATTGGGGGGGGCTGGCTAAAGCAGGAAGCTGAAACCAATTTTCAGTTATGGATTCTGCCTCAAAAACCAAAAGCTGTCCAAGGGTCTCACGCAGCCCCATTGTGTAGCTTGAACTCTGTGTATGTGTGTGCACGTGTACACCAGGCCCATCTGAGCCCCCTCCATGCATGTGGTTCTGGGTATTGAAGGCAGGTCATCAGGCCTATGGTGTAGAAAAGTGCTTTTATTTACTGAGCCTCCTTTCTTGCCCAGCCTCGAACTTCTGTTCTTCCTGCCTCCCTCTCCTGAGTGCTTAGATTACAGGTGTGCACAATGACTGCTCGGTTTTAGTGGTGCTGGAAATTGAACCCAAGCCTGTGGGTATGCTAGGTGCCTGTTCCACCTGCTGAGCTAAGTCCCCTGCTGAAAATTACTTTTTAAAACACAACTCTTAAAAACTACGAATGTGAGGTAACTGGTACAAGCAGTGGTTTTGGAGTTTCCCTGAATCCTGCCTAAAAGGGCCACTAATGTACTATCACCTGTTCCTAGTGACAGGGACAAAACTTAGAACTGTCTTAGAACCTGGCCCTCAGTGCTAAAGTCGGGGCTGCCTCTCTGCCGGTGGTATGACCTGGCACCCTGGTCACTCCAGATTCAGCACGGGCTCCTCGGTGGCCCTGAGGAATGGGGGAGGGGCCTGCTTAGCTCTCAGCCCTCATGTAGGTCCATGTGGTTGAGGGTCTCTGCCTCTGAGGTCTCCGGTTTGCATCTCACTCTTACTTGTAAGTGCTCACAGCACTTATGAAGTCCTTGTGTTTGGCACCAAGCACTGGAAACACCTCACAACAGGACAGCGTGTGGCAGGAGAAAGGACAAGAAATATTACACACGCAAAGCAGACAGTGTCTGTGTGTGTAGGTAATTAGAATGTGACTGGGGGTGGGTGGAAGAGTATCCTGCAGGCCCAGAGTTGATGGTGAGTAAAGGTCCCTAAAGGCTAGGATGAGGAAACTGCAGGATGATTTTATTTAAGACAACTCCTAGCCAGTGCTGGCCTTGAACCTTGTAGGGGGGGGGGTGGCCTTGAACTTACTCTCCGGCCTCCATCCCCACCGACCCTGCAGCGCTGAAATTGTATGTTCCAGCACACCCAGTGCTGGGGATCGAGCCCAGGGCTTCCTTCATGTTAGGCAAGCAACTTAGCTACATCCCCAGCGCTTTGATGCTGAGGTATTCTGCCTGGCCTGGAACTCACTCTGTAAAACTTCTGCCTCTGCCTCCTAAGCACTGGGACCTCAGCCATGTCCCAGCAGGATATTTCCAACCACATTGCCTCTTTAGAGGTTGGTTTTTGGATGTGGCAGTTCAAAGGGTCCCTGGGTCTGGGATGTCCCACCACTGAGAAGTTTAAGGGAGTTCTAGATCAGCCCAGATCTTGGTTGTACTAGATCCTGTGTTGAAGCCCCTAGGGAAAAAACCCAGTCACAGCACTACTGTGCTACGGAGTCTCCAGAAGCCCCATGGGGCCTTTCGAAAGTGCCTGGGTTTGCTCTCTTGTCTTAGCTCTGTTGCTGCTTGCTAATAAGATATGTAAATTATCAGGACTGTGAAATCCTAGACCCATTCCATCTTCTGTTTAATTAGCATTTAATCTAATCTGGTTTTAATTTTTTCACACTGGCACCCTAATTAAATGTTAGGGTGTTAGTATTAACAGTTAAATTATATTGGCAAATAGAGTCTTCAAGAAACTTGACCTTTTTTCAAGTCAGAGCCCTTTCCAGCTAGATGCAGATATTAATTAGATTCTTCGAGATGTTGATTCTAGGTCCGTCCATGAACCCATTCAGCTGTTTTCCTGTGGCTGTGGTCCTCGATTCACGAGGTGCACACAGCCAGTGAGCTGGCCCCAGCAGCTGGGTTATGGCTGAATGGGTTTGTCAAGAGCCTCCAGAGGGCTGTGCACTGACAGCCCTGGACTCAGTCAGTGGGTGTTGACTTTGCAAAAGGGCCTTGGTGGACTGTGGTGGGAGGCGGGGCTTGGGCCCTTGAAGTCTCCTTGAAGTGGTTTCTCCCCTCTCATCGATAGGAGCTTATGATTCTCAAGTGATGACTGCTGGGAAAGTTGGGACTTGAGTAAGTCACAAGGTGTCTAAAGGTAGCATTGTATTCAATAACAACACTTTGGGGGTTTGCAGAGGCGGGAAAGATGTTATTCTGAGGTAGAAGTCAGAAGGCCACAGGCAGGACAATGCAAAGAACAGGTTTCCTAGTGAGGGAGCAGAGGGCTGGCAGAAGAAACCCCAAAGCATGGCTTCGTGGTGATTCAGGACAGACAAGGGTGACAGAAGACAAAGGTCTTCCTCCCCCACCACATGCCAGTGAAGGCTGGCACTAGAGCCCCTCTGGTGGCATGTAGAGTGTCTTTGAGGGAACTTGGAACTCTTTGTAGAAGGCCCACGTCTTCCTTCCTGGGACCGGTGCCTCGTATCATACATACACTTGTGCCTCTGGGTGCAAATCTGTAGCACAGTTTTAACCCTCCAGAGGAAAGTCCCAGAACATTCACAGAGCAGTAGTGTTGTGTTCGAAGGTGACCTTTCTACTCTTGGAGTATGTGTGTGTGTGTGTGTGTGTGTGCCAGGAGGCCAGGTTAAGCTCATCGGGACTTGGGATGAAGGGGGCAGCTGCATTTTGGTGAGGGACCTATCAGTCTGCTTTCTTTCTCTATTCTCTGTTTCTCTCTTGCTCTATTCTGTAAGATAAAGGACAGTTTGCAGGAATATTTCCTTTTACATGTGGGTCCCAGATATTGAACTCAGGTCATCAAGCTCGGTGGCTTGGCAGCACAGTCCATTTTCTGCCTGGCCATTTCACTGGCCCTGCTTTGTGCTGCTCTGCTTGCCTGACCCCTGACCTATGAAGCCGCCTCTCTCAGGTAACATGAAGACTTTTCACCCTCTCACCTCTGCTAGGTTTTCCGGACAGACTTGATCACAGCTATGAAGATCCCAGATTCATACCAGCTCAGCCCGGATGACTACTATATTCTGGCGGACCCTTGGCGACAAGAATGGGAGAAAGGTGTGCAGGTACCTGCTGGAGCAGAGGCCATTCCAGAGCCTGTGGTGAGGTGAGCCAGGTGGCCAGGCTAGGACCATTGGGGCAGGGCATTAAGGGGGGGCTGGTTTGGTAAGAGGCTTACCAGTTCCAGGATTCCTTCCTAGCCTGTCTCTTTTAGTGGTTAATTCTCTTGCCATACAGCAACAACAAAAAACACATCGGTCCAAAAATCCTGGTAGGGTTACCTTTGAATCTTTGGGTTTGAACTCAGCTCTGAAGCCAGATTACCTTGGTCCAAATTGCCTCTTACCTTCAATAGGACCTTGAACCAGCGATGTAATCTTTCTGGGCCTCGTTTTTCTTGTTTCTGAAATAAGGGTGATAATTGTTTCCCTTGTGGTTGGAGGTGTAGTAAATGATGCATCTCCGAAAGACCCAGGGTGGGACCTGCATATAGCGGGTGTTACAGAACGGGCTAGGGCTAGAATGTTGCCATTCCACACAGCAGGTAGAGAGGACTAGGGAAATCTCCAGGCTTTTGCCCATCCCTTACAATGAGAATAAGCCATGTTCTGAAGTTCTCTTAAACCACCCTTCAAATAACTTAGAGGGAGGATCCTGGTGCCCATCTCTCAGTAGAGGCCTAAGAAGCACTTGTTGGTGTCACCCACTGAGGAGTTTGTCCTGTAGGACTGGGTCACCAGCTGAGGAGTCTGTCCTATAGGCTGGGTCAAAGTAGCATCCTCAGGGGCTTCATACCTGCTGGGCTTGTGGGGTATAACCACATATGGCCTTATCTTAAACTTTGGAATGTACTCAAGTGTTTCATTCTGAACCTGAGGGACGGGTGGTCTGGCTTTCCATCCCATCAGCTCACCTGAGGTGGGCAGTTTGTGTTAGTGCCCCTTCTTGGAGTTGGCAGCTAAACAGCTTTTGCTTTTGAGACCAAGTTTATTGAAGCTGGGGGCAGAGGTCACAGCTGTCCCCGCCTTTGACATTGGCAACCACATCTGTGAAGAGCCTGCTTCATGCAAGCCCTGTGGTAGGATTGCAGGCAAGGGAGACTCAGCCAACCCAGGTATTCTGAGGGACTGAATGTGGGAAGGCCTTTCTTTCCTCCAGTGGCATCAGCGTCTGGGGCCCTCTGAGAGTCTGGAAGCTTGGGCCCATCTGAAGTGCCTGGGAACACATTCATTCATTCATTCATTCATTCATTCTTACTATCCTCATTCCTCCTGGGGCCTGTAACATGGGCCAAGATCCTAGTGAGTTTTGTGCCCTGACCTTGCCACTCCAAGGTGCCCTGACCTGACTTCTCCAAGGCAGTCTGCTCCTCTGTGAAATGAGAATGATATTAGTACCAGTGACCACCTGGAGATGGGAGTCGGGATTAAGTGAGAATACTCATGCCAACTTGTCACCATATGCGCAAGGCCAGGGGGATGAAGGAGGGATAGGCTAGCCACTGAACAGAGAAGCCCTGATGGGAGTCACCCAGGAGTCGGACCTCTTGACTTGATGTCAATGTCACAATGTCAGATGCTTCTGGGAACATCTGCTGGTATAATCCTAGTATAATCCTAAACCTAGAATCCTTCATCAGATTTACTTGTTTCATTGTAAAACTTTTTTTGTTTTTTGAGACACGGTCTCATGTGTTCCAGGCTGATCTTGAACTTACTATATAAGGATATATAATACATCTACATCTTTTTTTGTTTTGTTTTAGAGAGGTTTATTTCATTTTTATTTTGTGTGTGGGGGTGTTTTGCCTGTATGTGTGCCCACAGAGGCCAGAAGAAGGTGTTGGATCCTCTTGGAATTAAGAGTTATAGATAGTGATTAGACACCATATGGGTGTTGGGAATTGAACCCTGGTCCCTTGGAAGAGCAGTCAGTGCTCTTAACCTCTGAGCCATCTCTCCAGCCCCACTCATAGCATTCTTATGGTTGTGCTAGACTGACATGAGTTAAGATACTCACAGCCTCCCTGTACTCAGGGAAGATGTAACTGAGGTGGGCAAATGTGTTTCCCAGTGTCCCTGAGATGAGCACTCCCACCTGCCTGGGGCCTCCCTACTGCTGGGCCTACTGGAAGCCTTTGTGGCATCTACCTTGGGGGACACTGAGAGCCTCCCAAGTCAAGCCTCTCTCCATCATTCAGTGATCACACTTTTAGGGTACATAGTACTGTCCCCATTTTATAGATGAGGAAGTTGGGAAATTCTGGGGAATTTCCTATGGGGCCTAGTAGGCCGCTGGGCCAGGAAACGACAGACCACAGTAACAAACCCTGGGCTGTCCCTGTGAGGCCTGGAGTGAGAACATTAGGTATAGCCTGACTGCTCGAGCCCATATGCTGTCCCAGCCAGACGCCTCTGCCCCTTCCTGGCCTTTGGGTAGTTCTGCCCGATTCATGGCCTAAAATCTGCCCCTCAGGGTTTGTGCTGTCCCTTTAGACTTGGCCCAGGGGGAAAACGCAGCCTCTGTCATCTGTTTGCTTCTCTGGAAGAGTCTCTGCTCTCCCAAGTGGTCTTGAGGAAGCTTTCCTTCCACCCCATTCCGGCCCATCCAGCCCATTGCCACCCGCTGTGTTGAGGGTGGGGCCTTGGCTTAGGGTCAGGTCAGTCCTCACCCGGTGGGAGATGTCTTTCTGGTGTGTGTCCCTCAGCCCCGGCTCCCCAGAGGGCTAGCCACGTGGCACTAGTGAAGCAAATAGGTGTGGCTAGTGTTAACACAGTAGGTAGCTGTTCAGATAGGGATGCTCCAACACTTAACTAAGCATATGCACAGAGCTCACACAAAGCTGGATTGTGACAGAAGTATAGGCTGTGCTTTTAAGAGATGTTCATTTGGAGTGACAGTTTCTTGGGACAGGCAGCAGTTGGTTGGACTGAGGGCATTGTATTGGCTTCTATGTGGAATCATTATCTACTTGGTGTGGGAGGAGGGCTCTGCCTTCATTGTCACCTAAGACTCTCATGAGGGCTTCGCATGTGGAATGGTAGTGCTGACCCTTAACCTTTGACCTTTCCTGTCCCCTTGTCCAAATGGTCGCCAAGCCTACATACAGGCTTTTCTCCCTGATTGTACCCCTGCCTCCCTGTCCCAGCATCCTGTCCCTTTGCTGACACCAGGGCATTTCCTGAAGCCAGGGGCCCTCCCTGAGGCTCAGTCCTGTCCCTATGCCATCTTGAATCCTCCCCTTCCCTGCTCAGCCCGAGCTGAGTCACAGCCCTTGGCAAACCCTGCCTCCGACCCCAGGAGGCCTCCCGGGCAAGTGTGGGGCCTCTCAGGCCTGGCAGGGCTGGCCAGATGGAGGCCAGGCTCCAGACAATAACCATGGCAACCAGTGGGGTATGGGAAGGGCTGGCATTTTGAACTGGCCTCAAAATCTGATGGGTAGCACACAGATGCATGAAGAGGACCCCACCCATCTGAGGCACAAATGCCCCTTATTTCCCATTTTAGGAGGAGGAAGGTGGTTGACATCTAGAGGTCTTAATACACACACACACACACCTACCTACCTCAATACCTAGCACTTTCCTAAGAGCTTTCTTCATGTTAATCCTAGCCATCCTCTCATCAAATGCCTAAGATAGGTATTCTGTTTGAGGAGTGGGGACCTTAGGGAACAATGTGGGGAGAGCCCTGGTCCTGCCGGGGTGGGATCTGAAGAGAGTGTTGCGAGTTTGGAAGTTTCAGGAGGCAAGATGAAACAGTAAGAAATGGTCCATAGGGAGGGTAAAGGTGTGTGGCCAGCATGCCCTGTGGCAAGAGGTCTTTAATCCAGAAAGCCCTCTCCTGGGTCATATAGTGAAACCCTGCAGGGATTAAACTCCTGAGAAAAGCAGGCAGACTCACTTCAACTCAAGACAATGACACCTCCAGGCTGTTGGTGAGGAGGGCCCAGGGATTATGAAGCCATGTAGATAGCCTTTGGTCCTAGCTTGGAGGGGTATGCCAAAGGGTCTAGAATCCAGCTGGCTCTATGTCACTTGTCCCCGAGTAGCTGGCACAGGGCATTGTCCAGGATGGCATTTGGGACAGGTCCTGCAGACCCAGGCAGGGCTGGTCCAGGTTTGGAAAAGCTCTGGCTGGGCAAGGCAGATGTTACTATGATGGACCGTTACTACATGCCGTTCCCATTAGACCTCACTCTGCCCTAAGGCTCGAATATTCCTGTAAACCTACAGCTAATGGAGTCTGTAAGGCAGACTGGCAACAAGGAAAGAAATGGAAAGAGGGGATGGGATGGATATGAGGGATGGTCCCTGTGGGGCATCGACATCTCGTGTCTTACCCAGGGCCACCAGTTCCTCCCCAGGCTGACTGAGAACCATTCTTGGTTTCACAGGATCCTCCCGCCACTGAAAGGCCCCCCTACACAGGTGTCCCCAGATAGCCCCACACTTGGTGAGGGCACCCATCCTGATTGGCCGGGAGGCAGCCGCTATGACCTGGATGAAATTGATGCCTACTGGTTGGAACTCCTCAACTCAGAGCTCAAGGAGATGGGTAGGTAACCTTTCTGTTCCAGGTGTGTGATTGCAACTGGCAGGGACCATCTTCTTCCCAGCCCCTGATAGTGTCTACACATCCAGAAAAACTGTCTGTGACGGGGACATCCCTACAGCTTTGCTGTCAGGTGTGGCTTTCATTGTCTCTGCCTCCTGAGTATCTACAGTTGTCAAGGGAAGGTAAAAATAGCAAGTAATTCGTGGGGCTCTATGACACATGCCGTGAGCATGCAGGTAGAACTGGATGTTAGTAGGCCCGCACCTCCCGGATGAAGCCTATTTGACATGTCCCAGGAAAGATGAGCCTGGCCATTATCTGCGTGTACACAGCTAATGAATGCACGCATAATGAAAGCAGTAGGTTTCTCGTGGAGCAAGCTGCACCCCAGAGACACCCTATATCGTATGCATACACTCCGGAGGGAGTGGTTGCTGGCAGGTTGTAGACAGTGAGGCAGCCGTGATGGGCAGGAACCTTTGGGATTGGGTGGTTCAGTTGTTCTTGGTGGAGCTGAGGTCCAGGTCACACTGTAGATGGATGGATGAAGCCTTCCCCATGACACTACTGATACATTTGCCCTGATTGCTACAAAGCCTGCTGAACTAATGGTGTCCTTTGCTGTCCTGCCCACAGAGAGGCCCGAGCTGGATGAGCTAACGTTAGAGCGTGTTCTAGAAGAGCTAGAGACATTGTGCCACCAGAATATGGCACAGGCCATTGAGACACAGGAGGGGCTGGGCATCGAGTATGATGAGGACGTTGTCTGTGATGTGTGCCGCTCCCCTGAAGGCGAGGATGGCAACGAGATGGTCTTCTGTGACAAGTGCAATGTCTGTGTGCACCAGGTGAGTGGACCCTATCACTCTCTTCCATACCATGTGAGCCTTGATGAGGCTGGTTGAGTTGGTTCTAGGAGCATGTGCACTGTGGACCAAGATCCCTAAGAAGGACTAGAGGCAGAGAAGTTGGTAACATAAATGTCTTGCAGTACCTGGAACATCCAGGGTCTCCTTGGCTTAGTCCTGCTAGTGTCCTTTGGGTAGTCTGTCTTCTCCCTTTCTTGGGTCTTTAGCTCTTCAATTTCCTGACTTTGCAAATGGGGGACAGTGCCATCAGAGAGTGACCGAGAACCAAGCATTGCTCTGTCCTTCACAGCTTAGTAGGCTTTTGGTGAGTGGGGAACTCTGTTTTGTAAACCGTAAATAAACGTGAGCAATCAGAGCAGAGATATAGGTGTGACTTAGCGGTGGGATGCTTGCCTGATATTCATGAAGTCTTGGATTCAGTCCCTAGCACTGTCCCAAACAACCCCCCCCCACGTGCGCCCGAAGAGCAAATTGTTTATGATAAATTTGCTTAGTAAAAGACAGTAGGGCTGAGCCTGTGAGATGGCTCAGTGGGTGAAAGCACTTGCTTAAAAGCATGGTGACATGAGTTCAATACCCATATACAGATGGAAGGGGAGAACCTATTCGCAGAATTGTCAAGCCTTTCCGTGTAGCCTGTGACCTGCTGTGTTCTGTCCCCAGTAAATTGACTTAAGAAATACATAGGGCTGGAGAGATGGTCAGCGGTTAAGAGCTAGAGGTCCTGAGTTCAGTTCCCAGCAACCATGTGGTGGCTCACTACCATCTGTAATAAAACCTGGTGTGCTCTTCTGGCATGCAGACAGACACTGTATACATAATAAAATAAGTAAAAATAAATCTTTTACTTCTTGCTGTTGTTATTGTGACAGAGTAAGCCAGAGTCCCTATTTTTTCTTTTTTAAGATTTTTTTTTTTTTAGATGTGTGTGGGAATAGGTATACATGCCTGTGTAGGTGGGTCCCTGTGGAGGCCAGAGGCAGCCAATCCTTGTAGACCTAGAGTTAGAGATAGTTGTGAGCTGTCTGATGTGGGTGTTGGGAACTATACTCAGGTCCTCTGGATGAGCAGCCAGTGCTCTTAACTGCTGAGCCATCTCTTCAGCCCACAGTTAACTTTTTTTTTTTTTTTTTTTTTTTTTTTTAATGTTTTTTGTTTTTTCGAGACAGGGTTTCTCTGTGACTTTGGAGTCTGTCCTAGAACTAGCTCTTGTAGACCAGGCTGATCTCAAACTCACAGAGATCCGCCTGCCTCTGTTCCCCAAGTGCTGGGACTGAAGGCGTGTGCCACCACAATCTGGCAGCCTTTATTTTTTAAAGTCATTTTATTTTATATGTATAAATACATACTTATACATATAAAATTTGCCTTGTATATATAAATGAATTAGGTGTGTGCCTGATTCCCAGAGAGGCCAGAGGAGGACATTGGATCCCCTAGAATTGGAGTTAAATATGGTCGTCAGCCACCATGTGGGTTTTGGAAACTGAATTTGGGTCCTCTGCAAGAGCAGCAAATGTTCTTAACAGCTGAGCCATCTCTCCAGCCCATAGATCCCCTTTCTCAGTCTCGGATCCTGAGGCTCTGGGTCCTTTGTATCTGTGGCCTTCTTTCCAGACCAGATTTGAAACCAGGGATGCACTCTGGTCCCCAACTTTGAGGCACATACAGCTGCCACAGTTTCATCCCTGTCACTAGGGACCTAGACAGATCCTGGGATGCTGGGGAGCAGGGACTTGAGCTGTGCAGCAGCTCTTGGCTTCATTTCTCTCCTACACTCGTGGAATGACAGAAGTGGAGAGTGGCCACTGTTCCTACAGACTCCTATATAAAAAAGGTGAAAATTTGGACCTTGGTCTTCAGAGGGTTAGAAACACTTTTATGTTCAATTTAAGAAGCAGTTGAGGCTTTCCCTATAGCCCATGCTGGTCAGGAACTTCTGGCTAACATGGGTCTTCCATCTGGGAGCAGCCCCCATCCCTTTACCAGATGATGGGAACGCACACCTCAGGAACTCTCTGCCACCCAGTTTAGCCTGGAGACACTGACAAGTCGCTGACCAGACATAGCCAATTTGCCAATTGCTCTGACCCATGACCACCTGCTCTGTTCCCAGGCATGCTACGGGATCCTCAAGGTGCCTACAGGCAGCTGGCTGTGCCGGACATGTGCCCTGGGAGTTCAGCCCAAGTGCCTGCTCTGCCCAAAGCGAGGAGGAGCCTTGAAGCCTACAAGAAGTGGTACCAAGTGGGTACATGTCAGCTGTGCCCTGTGGATTCCTGAGGTAGAAGATTTCACTAAACAGATCGTGGGGAAGGGGTTTATGGAGAACTCAGGTTGTGCCTGGCAGAATTTAGGTGTGAGTACAGGAAAAGAAGGGGCTGTTGCACTCCCATTGAAGACTCAGAGAGACAGGTCTTGGAATAACTGGGAACACTGTTGGTGAACCTGGTCATAGGTCAGATGCAGTTTTTTTTGGGGGGGGGGAAGCGGGGTGATGAGCCACTGGGACATTCAGTAAGGATGATTTGAGGTCCAGCCTTCAGTCAAGCAGAGGGTGACTCAGATTATGAGATCCACTGAAACAAGGCTTTGGTTAAAATCAGAATGAAACCAGCCTTGCTGGCATATACCTGCAAATGCAGCACTTGGAAGATGGAGATAAGGATAAAGGGTTCAACGTCATCATCAGCTACATCTTGAGTTTGATACTAGCCTGAGCTATGCGATAGTCTCAAAACCAAGCAGAACACAGATAATCCCTCAGTCTAAAGGGTAACAGCAGGAAGTCAGGCTGTGGGCCTGCCCCTATGTCTGGGATTGCAGTGCAGAGGTAGCCTGTGGCTGGAGTCATGTGGGAGGTCCATGACAGCAGGCTGGATCCACAGTGGGCATCCATTTTCTTTAAAATATGAGATGCACCAGGCAGTGGTAGCTCACACCTTTAATCCCAGAACTTGGGGGGCAGAGGCAGGTGGATTTCTGTGAGTTAAGGCCAGCCTGGTCTACAGAGCTAGTGCCAGGACAGGCCCCAAAGCTACACAGAAGAAACCCTGTCTTGAAAACCAAATAATAATAATAAAATAAAATGAGATGCTAAAATTCACCAGGGTTTTGGTTAGCTCTAATGAATTGAAACCCCTGTCCATTGCTGTCTGTGCCTAGAAGCAAGCTAGGAGACCCTGTCAGCATGCGGCCATGCCCTTCCTGGTTCTCACTCCAGGGGTTCCCAGTGAGGTCCACCTTGCCATTCTTGGGTTAGTGGTTATTTTTGCCAGGTCTTGATCAGAAAGACCAGGACTGCCTCTCAGTACCCTCTCTTCTGGTTACAACAGACACAAACTGACCCCATCCTTGGGGGCTGGCAAGATGGCTCAGCAGGTAAAGGTGCTTGCTGCCAAGCCTGACAACCTGAGTTCAGCCCCTGGGACCTACATAGTGGAAGGAGAGGACTGACCCCTGCAAGTTGTCCTCTGACCTCCATTCCTGTGCTGTGGCACACATGAACATACATCTGCACACATGCACCTCTGTCTCAGAGCCTACACCCCCCAGGTACATGCTTCTCCTAGCCAGCTACACTCTGGGACTAGATCCAAGTGATCAGGTACTTGATGGAGCTGGGGTGGGGAACTCAAACTCTACATGTGATGAGTCAGGGAGGGTTCAGCCGCCGCTCTGTCTGTCCGTGCACTACCTGCTTACAGCAGACAGCTTCCCACTGGAGCCCTGACGCTGCTCACTGTCTTCTGCCCAGGTCAGCATTGGCTGTCCAGAGAAGATGGAGCCCATTACCAAGATCTCACATATCCCAGCTAGCCGCTGGGCCCTGTCTTGCAGCCTCTGCAAAGAGTGCACAGGCACCTGCATCCAGGTATGTAGCCTCTTCTGCCCTGCTGCCTTGAGCTACTTCTTACCTGACAGATGGCACCTGGGGGGCCTAAAACCCCAGTACTTATCACCACTTATCTCTGAGGCTGCGTCACTGATGGGCCTGCGCAGCTTAGGACTGGGACCATGCTTGGTGCTTACCCATCAGGAAGGCACATTTCATTTATCCCCAGACTTCCAAGGAATAGGGACAGACCACACCCATGGGGTGCTGAGAACATTGCCTTCTCTGTGAGAACAGGTGTCTCTGGGCTTAAAGAAATGACCTTTTAGACTGCAACTCTGACACGTGAGAGGAATGGAGATCTAGATTCCTCTGCAGCTCAGCAAATAGCCCTTCCTGACACAGATGACACTGGTCTACCTGTGATGATGGTCCCCGTCTTAGTGATCATTAGGATAACCCAAGGCTTTCAAAACACATGAAGGCAAGCCCCACAATTCTGATCCGGGTGAAGGGAGCTGTGGATTTGCTTTTCTCACAAAGCAGGGGTTGCGGTGCTTCTGGTCTATGCTGTGGGGGTGGAAGAACACTTCTGTCCCTCTCATCTCTTCCAAGAACACAGTTGACTTTGCAAATAGGCCTCTACTCCATCTATCAGCCTTCCAGAAAGGCTCTGAATGCTGGGGCTATGGTGTCTATGTTGGGTATACCAATGATGAACTGGTTCCAGTGGTTCAGTCCCCATCCAAGGCTGGGAGGGATGGTCTACCCTTTAGCTGTTTGGACGAGAGAAAGCAGGGATCCAGCTGCTCCCAGAGAGCAGAACTGGGGCAGACTCCTGGCTTTGATGACAATATAATAAAGAAAGATGTGACTGATTTTAACTCCCCCTCTTCCCAATCCCATAGTCATTTTGCCCACAGGACAGTGTTTCTTGGCCCCAGGAGAGTCATCACCTTCTGGTTGTTGGCTCCTTCAGGGTGTCTGGGATTTCCAGCTGCCTCTGGGTTCCTGTTTCTCCTGCCAAAGTTCTTTCAACACAGTGGGATGTTGGAGCCCATGCCATTTTATGTAGGGCCTCCCCAGCATATTGTGAATGCTCCACCACGCCCTAGATGAACCCCTACATTTTTCCTGGGGCTCCTTTAATGCCTGACACTGTCTTTCCCTGCTCTCCAGTGTTCCATGCCTTCCTGCATCACAGCATTCCATGTCACATGCGCCTTTGACCGTGGCCTGGAAATGCGGACTATATTAGCCGACAACGATGAGGTCAAGTTCAAGTCACTCTGCCAGGAGCACAGCGACGGGGGCCCTCGGAATGAGCCTTCTTCTGAGCCCGTGGAGCCCAGCCAGGCCATTGAGGACCTGGAAAAGGTGACCCTGCGCAAGCAGCGGCTGCAGCAGCTAGAAGAGAACTTCTATGAGCTGGTGGAGCCGGCTGAGGTGGCCGAACGGTTGGACCTGGCGGAAGCTCTGGTGGACTTCATCTATCAGTACTGGAAGCTGAAGAGGAGAGCCAATGCTAACCAGCCACTGCTGACACCCAAGACTGACGAGGTTGACAACTTGGCCCAACAGGAGCAGGATGTCCTGTATCGCCGCCTGAAGCTTTTCACCCACCTGCGGCAGGACCTAGAGAGGGTAAGTGACCCTGGTGGGCCAGTGGCCTCGCCTCTTACTCCGTGTGCACTGCCAAGGGCTCAGGGGCATAGAAGCAGGAGATACTGGGGGATAAGGGATGCCTCATAGACTCTGCTGGCTCTTAGTCTTTGCGTCACGTCCTGTCACGTCCCCCGCGCCCCAGGGTTTCTCTGTAGCCCTGGTTGTCCTGGAACTAGCTCTGTAGACCAGGTTGACCTCAGACTCACAGAGATCTGCCTACCTCTGCCTCCTGAGTGTTGCGGTTAAAGGTGGGTGCCACCATTGCCTGGCTTTTGATTCTTTCTTGTTCCAGTCCTTTCGCAGTCCTTGGTGAAGGTGGCATGTGGGAACAGGAGGGAAGGATTCTAGTAACCATTGCTTTTAGTCCCACTCTGACCTCTGTGGATGGTGACTGGGGTTGGAGGAGCCAGTTTTACCCAGGATGCGTATGTCCTGAGATATTGAGAGCAGGGATTGGCCAGTTACCAGGCAAGGTTGTGCTGGCCAGAACTGGGTGGGTGGGTAGAGGTGAATGGTGGATGTGAACCCCACGGACTAACTACCAGGCAGCACAGGGAATAAGGGACAGATGACACATAACATGAGACATTCCACCAGGCCTGGCCTGGGTGAGTAAGCCACATAACACACTTCCGTCTTTGTTTTAGGAGACAGGATAGCGGTGTGGCTTGGTCCCTGGTGGTACAAGGGGGGCTGCGGGAGGTGAACATGTGTGGACCAGTACCCAGGAGCTGCTCTAGCATCTCCTTTCTGAACATTAAATTCTAGGGTTCAGAAGTCAGTGTCACGTCTTCCTGGGCAGTGTTAGGAAACAGTCCTGTTGTTGTCTGCTTTTCCTATCTGTGCCTCAGTGAGCCGGTCAGTCAAATGGGTAGGGCACCCTAGCAGGTGCTGTGCTGTGACAGGTGGCAGTGACTCCTCTCAGCTTCCCTGTTATCAGACATCTGCCTTGGGGGCTGAGTAAGGAGGCTCAGGCCCTGGTGGCCTGAGGAGGAACTTACTGCCTGACGACCACTAAGTCCTTTAGCAGGTCAGAAGGCTGTGTGGTAAGAGTCACATGTCCCTGGTTGTCAGGCCAGATGGGGAAAGCTTGATTGCATTGCAGCCACCACATCTCAGGCAGTTCACAGCTCCCTCCAGGGTTGTCCTGAGACTTCCCCAAGTCCCCACCCCCAGGTCTCCCGTGCAAACTGTCCCTCTTTCGCTTCCCAGAGGACCTAGCAGATGTGGCCCCCTCCTGAGGAAGACCATCCCTGCCCAGGATGCAGCAGCCGATGGGGCTCAGGAGGATGAACTATAGGAATCCTTAGTCTCTTTGGCCTGGAGCTTGACTTTGGATTTGGACTTTGAGGATGGGGATGGAGGTCAGGAAAAGCAATATTGACTGTTTGCAGTTCTGTAGATTTTCCTGAGCAAATATGTCCTCTTATGACCTTCCATCCTCCACCCCAGTGTCAACTGGTTCAGGGACCACTGTCTGAGGCTGTGAAGGGCTGGTATGCCAGCAAGCTGGTCGGGCAGGATCCAAAGTCTCAGGGCAGACAGGGCTACTAGAGACCCCTCCAAGGGCAGGTGACATTTATCTGAGTGTCTAGAAAGAGGTGTAAGAACCCACTTAGAACTCTATAAAGTCTCTTGGGGGCTTTTGACAGGAACCCCTTTCTAAACTGTTTCTCAGAATCCTCAGGGATGAAGAAGAAAACCATCATTAGGTAGCAGTGACACCCAACCTTGAGCCCTCCCAGGACCACATGTTGGTGACTTATACCAGTGAAAAACACCAAGCAGTCTACCTGGGGATTGGGGGGTGGTCTCTGCAGAGCTCTATGGTGGCAGTGGCCAGGCCATCTTGGGCCTGCTTCTGAAGTGCAGGATGGGGAGTTAAGAGGTCTTGGGTGGTCTGGCCCATCACGGATTCTAGCGCCCTTCCCCCCAGCTCTGTGGCTACTTCTGTTTCCTTTTCCAAGAAATGGAAGTAAGCATCCAACTGGCCTTGGGGTCACACAAGGACAGTGGCCTCCATTGTTGGTTGTTGTATTTTGTTTGGGGCTAAGACTCACTCTGTAGCCCAGGCTAGCCTCACATTATTGGTGGCAATCCTGCCTCACCCTCCCAAGAACTGGGATTATAGGGGTATGAGCCCCCTTACCTAGCCCGCTGTGGGTTGCTTGCTATCACTGTTGGCTCTATAAGCAGTTCAGCACTTAGAGGGTGAAGCCTATGTCCCAAGAGTGGCCAGAGAGCACAAGGCCTGGGCTCCAGCATGGACATCTTCTCCGGTGGTTCAGGAACAGGGCTGCCACCAGCATGAAATTGATTTTATGGCCAACCCAGACAATGCACTTTCCTACAAATTTCAGCCGCAGGCCTGGACCTTGGCAGGCAGCGTGGATGGGCACAGCCACTGCAGCCTCCAGAGTTATTCACGGCTGACAGAAAAATTGCAGTAGTGGACATCAGCCCTGCAAATGCCAGCTCATGTCCCCTAGCAACCACGCTGGCTGTCAGGCCCTGCAGGGACATGGTTGTGGTTCTTGCTACATGACTTATCCTTTTGTGGGAACCAAGAGGGTAGCAGGGGCTCTCACTCACACAGCTGCCCTGAGATGAGCCTGTGGGACTCCAGTCCTGCCCTTTTCTGACCTTGCCACTTGCCTCGTTGCTGGTCCCTGGACTGGGATCTCTTGCCAAAATCCCTAACAGCACTTGGCTGGTGGACAGTCACTATTTTCTACCTCTTATCACCACTCCATTCTCCTGGCCCTTTGTCTTCATTCAGTCTTGTTTAGGGACACCAGTCAATTGGAGAAAGGACCCACCCTAACCCAGAATGACTTCATCTTAGCTAATTTTATCTTCTGAGATCTTATATCCCACTCTGAGGTTCCCAGCAGGAAATCTTGGGAAATTCAACCCATATAGAAGGTGTAAGGGCACCAGGAAGTGGTTTGATTTGCATTTCAAGAGCATTGCTGAGGGATGGTTTTACTGTCCCTATGAAAGGCTGGGGGGATGGGCAGAACCAGGGTGTGAAAAGGGGTCATAAATGTACTGATGGGTCAATTGTGGGAGCAGGTCATGAGGATGACTCCAGTTTTCAGCCATATCCTTCCACAACTCTCCTTGGCCCAGGAGAGCACCCCCAGAGCCTGCTTCTCCCCCAATCCCCTGCTGGCTGCCTTTGCCTCCTCCACCGTGCTCCATTACACTGTCCCCACAAAGCCTAGCTAGCTAGGCCTCCTGGTGGGTCAAGTTGTCCGGCCCTATATCCAGGAGCCTGCACCCCTCTAGTCTTGGGTCAGGGACACCTGGTCCTGGGAGTACCTCATCAGAATCTCTGCCTTGCTCCGTGGCAGGCTGTGGAGAGAAAGCCCCTGACCGTGTTGCTTTTGGCAAATTCCTCCCAGACAGTAGGTAGACTCTGAGCCGGTCTGCTGGTGTGTAGGGTTTGGAGAGGAAGTTGGTTGGAAGGTGGGCCATGGTAAGAGGGTCCCAGGCTAGCACCAAGTGGTCAAAATCCAGGGCTGTCCCTTGAGGAAAGGGCTGGACATGAGAATTTGTAAAGCTGGGGTCAGTGATGGGTGGACCATGGTGGTCTGGTGTTCATAGTGCAGGTGGGGAGCACACACATGGGCTGTCCCAGGAGAGTCCATACTGAATTCCATCCTGTTGATGCCTCTGGAAGAAGTGGGGCTTCTGAATTAAAGGCCACCCTAGACAGCTTAAGGACAGAGAGGCTTAACTAAGGAAGACCTTGGTGGGAATAGGATTCAAGCTGAACAACTATGGTCAGAAAGAAAACTCCATATGAACCCAAAGGAAATGCCAGACCAAGGGAGTCTCTCAGGCAGTACCGTGGTCAGTCCAGGGTTCCATGATTTTGTAGTCTGCATGCAGGTGCAAAGGACCCCTTTAAAAAACAGACTCCCGCCCGCCCGCTTACGCTCCCTTTCCCACTGGCGTTACTCCTTACACACTGGGGCAGACAGGACTTTTCCTGTCTCCCTCTTCTCTCTCTGCCTCTGTGTCTTTCTATCTCTTTTCTTTCCCCCCTCCACCCTTTCTAATAAAACTCCTCTCTAAGCTATGTCTTGTTATGATAAAGCTCATGGGGGACCTTGTGTGGAGGACCTTGGCAGATTCCATGGCAGACGAGGTTGACTGACGTGGAGGACAAACATGCCAGGCAGTCAGAGCTTAGTGAGAAGTTTTATTAGAAAGGGAGGTCGAGAGAACATAGGTAAAGAGACAGAGAAGAGGGAGACAGGAAAAGTCCTGTCTGCCTCAGGGAAAGAGTGGAAAAAGAGTTTAGGTGCGCGGGAGTCTGTCTTTTAAAGGAGTCCTTTGTACCTGCGTGCAGACTACGAAATCATGGAACCCTGAGCTGACCAGGGCACTGCCTGAGTGCATTCTTGCCAGGTGACAGGGGCTAGGCCAGCTTAATGCCTGAGTCCTTACACCTGTTTCTGGATAGTTCCATATGAGCCCAAAGGAAATGCCAGACCAAGGGAATGTCTCAGGGGCTGAAGCCCCAGAAGTGTGAGAGAATGGGGGTTGGGGGGGTTTGCACCCTGAACAGGCACTGACAGGTCCACCTCAGATGCTTCCAGACAACCTGAAGAATGTGTACCTATCCTGTAGACCAGGCCAGATGGCTTCAGAGGCTGCTGACCTTTGTAAATAGTGGCACTGTGTTGCTGTGGGTACAGGAGCATTGTGGGGGTGGCAGGGACCTGGCCCAGGTCCTGGTGTGGCAGGTAGGCTTGGGAAAGCTATTCTGCCTGATCGTGTCGCTGGTGCCTTGGGACTGGGTGTTACCATGATGCTTGCATCTACTGCCTGTACATTCAAGGTTTGAGAGTGAGATCTCAAATGTCTTGGGCAGAGAGGAAGTAGCAGCAGTGACCCACGTTCAAAACCCTACTTTTTTAGCAACAAGGCCCCTAGCGACAACCAATCAGAAATGGGTGAGAAATCTCTCTTGTGTCTCCTCAGGTTAGGAACCTGTGCTACATGGTGACAAGACGTGAGAGAACAAAGCATACCATCTGCAAGCTCCAGGAACAGATTTTCCATCTGCAGATGAAGCTTATGGAGCAAGACCTGTGTCGAGGTAGGCACAGCACCTTGCCTGCTGGGGCCTTGGAAGGGCCTGGAACCAGGAGCCATCGGCCATCCCTTCTCATCACCATTGCAGTCATCAGGTCCATGTGGGAACCTATCAAGGCCCTGGTTGTGTTAAGAGGCAAGGAGCCAGAATTTGGACTGTGGCTTTCAAGCCTGCCCTCGGCCAGCACTGGTTTCCTGGGATGGCCCAGTGTCATTAACAGTGGCTTAGCTTGCATGAAGACAGGTCAGATCCATAGTTTTCCTGGCTCTGGGCTCAAGTCAAGCAGGAGCTGGCCATCTTCCCTGAACCTTGGTGTGCCTGGGGCTCAACCCTCAGGAAGGCAGCTGTGCAGAGATGAGGCTGTGTGTGTTTCCTTCTCTCTGGCCTCACCTGATGAAATTGAGCTGTGTTTTCTTTGCCCTCTTTCAGTCTCTGGGCATAACATGCATTTAGCACAGCTAGAAATTGGGGGCAAAGGTCTTGACATTGATTGTGTTGGTTAGTTATAGAGTCTGAACGTGCTAAGGAGGATGTGCTTAGCACACCACGTACACACGCCATCACGCTCAAATGTTCAACACATGCAGTAGAAGTGGCTAGGTAGATAGAGCTTTGGAGATGCCACTGCCCACTCAGCCTGTGGGTCATTCTGGGCCTTGGGTGGTGGAGGAGGAGGGCTGCTGGGGCACCATTAGAGGGAATGACTGCCCCCTTCTCTGCCAGTAGCTGAATTGTTCCCTTTACCCTTTGGGGTTACCAGGTGTGGTAGAACATACCTGTGAACCTAGTGCACAAGAGGTTGAGTTTAGGGTCAGCCTTTGCTAAGCTTCTTTCTTAGGAAGGAAGGAAGGAAGGAAAGAAGGAAGGAAGGAAGGAAAGAAGGAAGAAAGGAAATGAGGAAGAGGAATTGGAGAGATGACTCAGGGAGGGGTTAAGAGCTGTTCTTCCTGTTCTTCCACAGGATCTGGATTCGATTGCTGGCACCCCTGTGGTGGCTCACAACTGTCTGTACCCCCAGTTCCAGGGAGTCTAGTGCCTCTTCTGGCCCTGTATGGCTGGAACTATAGCTTACTTGTTAGGGTGCTTGCTTAACATGTATGAAACCCTGGATTTGATCCTCAGCACTGCATAAAACCAGATGTTCTGGTGCACATCTGTAATCCTAGCACTTGGGAGGTAGAGGCAGAAGGATCAGGAGTTTCAGGTCATCCACAGCCACATAGCAAGTTGAAGACCATCCCTGACTATATAACAACCATTTTCTTTTGTTGCTTTTTGTTTTTCAAGATAGGGTTTCTCTGTACAACCTTGGCTGTCCTGGAACTCACTCTGTAGACCAGGCTGGCCTCAAACTCAGAGATCTGCCTGCCTCTGCCTCCCCAGTGCTGGGATAAATGTGTGTGCCCCCACTGCCTGGCTGAGAACCATTTCCTTATATGTTTGTTATGTGTGTGAATGTTTTGTCTGTACATCTATCTGTGTGTGTACTGTGTGTATCCTTGGTGCCTGTGGAGGTTAAAAGAGGGTGTCAGATCTGGAACTGAAGTTAAAAGGTGGCCATGAGCCACTATATATGGGTGTTGGGAATTTAACCTAGCATAATCAAAGGAAAAAAGAAGAGAAATTACTGTTGCTGGTAATAGAGGTCAGAGCAGATTATGGCCTTGTTGAATTGTCAGCTATGTAGCTTCCTGAGCCTTCCTGCACATGTACAGTTTACTTAAACTCTGGACCAAGAAAGTAGTGTCCCAGGATGTGCATCCATGGTCTGTGGCGGTACAGGGACAGAGGTGTTGAGGGGAACCCTGCAGCACTTGAAGGAGGCCACACATGTGTCTTCCTAAAAACCCCAAAGCCCGCACAAAGTCCTTGTGTTCAAGGAAGCTGAGGGTCACAAGGCAGGAGTAGCACCTTCGGGCACAGTGTCCTACACACCAGAGCGTCTACACCCCAGTGTAGGTTCTGGAGATTCTGCAGCTCCTTGTCCTGGGTAGGAGAAAGCACCATTGTTCGGGGCAGTGTACCTTTGAAGAAGACTGCCTTACCCTTGCTTGAAGTGGACCAGGCTGGCCTTGAACTCACAGAGATCCAATCCACCTCTGTCGAGGAGCTGGGAACCCTTATTTTGTAGAGCAAGGAACATGAGAACCAGATGTGAAAATGGAATTTCCATCTTCTGCCTCACTGCAGAAGCAGGCCAGGTGTTAAGAAGCTTGATCGGAAGCTTGACTGTGGGGTTAGGCCCCCAACCTAAGCCTCTTACCCCACGATGATGCTTTTCTGCCCTGTGTCCAGCTCCTTACCCTGGCATTCAAGGCCCTGCCCTGTCCATATAACATCCAGTGACCGTGTCCACTAAAGCCCAAGGTCCATAGAGCTGTGGGTGCTTACCTTCTCTCCTACCCAGCTCCCTCCTGTGTCTGGCACACCGACAGTGACCTTGGGGTCATGGAGGACCCCTAGACTGACACTCAAGTTTAACTCTCTCTTTCTCTGACACAGAGCCTTCTGGGAGGAGAGCAAAGGGCAAGAAGAGTGGCTCAAAGAGGCAAGGCCGAGAGGGTCCCAAGGGCAGCAGCCCTGAGAAGAAAGAGAAGATGAAAGCTGCTCCCGAGTCTGTCCTGGGGCAGCTGGGTAAGTGAGGGGCCATTGTGGCCTGGCAGACACCAACCCACCTTTCAGCTTCACCCCATTGGAGGCCAGCAGTGTGAAGCACAGATGGCCTTCTCAGGAAAGAGCTACTTAGACCCGTCCTCTCCCAGGTGCCCACAGCATCCCAGCCTCCTCTCACTTGAGATCCCAAGAAATTCTAACTGGATGGAGACAGTTCTGCCAGCTCAGGAGCTGCCCTGGGCAGGGTGATGGATCCTCCCAGAGCTGCCTAGAAATCAGCCCCGTGCTGGGAGGGAAAGACTACAAGTCTTCGTCCCTATTCCACACTGCCAGGGTCACCCCTCCACACTACCCCCAATGGGCTATTTCCTCAACCCCAGAAGACTTTCTTGAGCCACCCAGAGACCAAGAGGAGTGATAGCAGGCCCCTTAGTCACTGTCATAATAGACCGCAGTAAAACAGGGACCACAGGTGAAGCTGGCCCTGGCCACCATTTCACGGAGACATCTCTGTCAGGTGTTTTCCTACAAATTGCTCGAGGGACTGCCCGGAAAAGATGCAGCGCCCCCTGGTGGCCTCTCTGCTCTTACCACTTTGAAATCCTTAGTGTGTGAACAAGGAACTCTCTACCACTTCCTTTCCACTCCACTCCACCTTGCAAAGCCAGTGCTGGGGTCTGTCACCCAGGTGAACGGGTACTATGTCTGGCCATGCACTTTGGTGGCGTTGATAGGAGTGGACAGCTTGCCTGGGTGGGTTGGTTGTCTTGGGCCACCTGAAAGGGAGGTGCACACCACTCACATACCTGCCTTCTTTCTCGCATGGGTCAGGTCTGTCCACCTCGTTCCCCATCGACGGCACTTTCTTCAATAGCTGGCTGGCACAGTCAGTGCAGATCACAGCAGAAGACATGGCCATGAGTGAGTGGTCTTTGAACAGTGGGCACCGGGAGGACCCTGCCCCAGGTCTGCTGTCAGAGGAATTGCTGCAGGATGAGGAGACGCTACTCAGCTTCATGAGGGACCCCTCCTTACGTCCTGGTGACCCTGCCAGGAAGGCCCGAGGCCGCACTCGCCTGCCCGCCAAGAAGAAACCACCCCCGCTTCAGGATGGGCCCAGTTCACGGACCACTCCAGACAAGCCACCCAAGAAGCCCTGGGCCCAGGATGCTGGCAGTGGCAAGGGCGTGCAAGGACCACCCACCAGGAAGCCACCACGGAGGACGTCTTCTCATTTGCCGTCCAGCCCTGCAGCTGGGGACTGTCCTGTTCCAGCAGCAATGGAAAGCCCCCCACCACTGGCCTCTGAAACCATGGACGAGACAGCCCTCATGGCTTCCGACTTGAATGTCCAAGTGCCTGGCCCTACAGTGAGCCCCAAGCCCTTGGGCAGGCTCCGGCCACCCCGAGAGATCAAGGTCAGTCGGAAATCTCCGGGTGCTAGGTCTGACGCTGGGACAGGACTGCCACCTGCTGCGGCCGAGAGGCCAAAGGTCAGCCTACACTTTGACACTGAGGCTGATGGCTACTTCTCTGATGAGGAGATGAGCGACTCTGACATAGAGGCAGAGGACAGTGGAATACAACGGGCTTCCAGGGAGGCAGGGGCAGAGGAGGCGGTTCGAATGGGGGTACTGGCCTCCTAACTCACCAGGGCACTGCCCTGGTCCCCCACAGGGCCTCAGCCCAATCACAACTGCCATTTCCAACTGCTGAGTGTCCCAGATCCCCACTCTGTCGTGGTTTTATTTTTAATATAGAGAGAGTTCTGAATTCCACTCCGTTGTCTTTCCTCTGTGCTGGCCTAGGACATTAGGATCCCTCCCGTGGCCCTGGCCAGGGACTATGCCAGGTTCTATGTGCCACCCTGTCCCAGCCCACGCAACATCGCCGGGCTCCTGGCTTAATGTAGATGAGGTGAAGGAGAGCTCAGGGCTCCTGCCCACTGCCACTGGGTGACACAGACTGTCATTTGGGCATTATTTCATGGCAGATGGGCCATCCCTGGGCCTACCCCACCTTGTCCTCCCAGATTGCACTGGGGTTTTTTGGGGGGTAGGGAGTGTACTGCTACACTCCACTGATCCCTAAGGAAGTATAAGGAGTGATACCCAGCCAGTCTATTCACTGTCACAAGCACAATGAGTTTATATGAGAAAGCACTGAGGGGGTGCAGGGGGGCTGCCAGCTCCTGAATAGCCCACAACATCTTAGGCCTGCCCGCCCACCCGCAACCCCCCCCCTCCCTTGCTGCTCTGTCCCTGCCAGTGCCCAGCCCAAGCAGCTCTGGGAAGTGATTCCTACAATCCTTCCTAAGCTGTGCTATTTACTCAGGGGACTCCCCAAACAGCCAACCATCTGTACAGGTGGAAGGCTCCAAGGGAGGGCCAGTGCCCAGGCCGGGGCTTGGGGCTCAGATCAGCCCATTGCAGAGAATCACTCTGGGGCTTCAACTTCCTTTCTTCCTTTGGGGCCAGTCTTGGCCACAATCTGCTCTCTCCATGTGGAGCTGGCCAGACCAGACCGTTTGCCTTTTGAAGTTTCCTAGTCCTGCTAAGAGATGAGCTTCCTCATTGGTTTCCTTCTGGAAACATCCTTCCAACAAGTGTAGTGGGATCCCGGGGCCCAGGGCAGGCCAGTGTTGGCCTGCTGGGGCAGGTTGAAGTATTGCTGGATCTTCCTATGTTCCCTTGACGCCTTAACCCCATTTCCTTCCCTGCTGTATCCCCTTTCCTACTCCTCTTCAATCCCCCTCCTCCAAGTCCCTAAGTAGTTCTGAAAAGTTTTGATGGAGTGGCCCCAGGGTGATAGCTCAGGGAACAAAGGAATTCCGTGAAAACATTTGTGTTTTTTGTTTTTGTTTTTGTTTTTCTTTTACGAATTACTCTTGGGTCACTTCCACCACTGGTAAAGCCAGAACTTCTCCAACCAGAACCTTGCAAAAGTCCAGTGAACCAGTCGAATCATCCTGAGAATGCCAAAGAATATTTTGACCATAATATACAGCACAGCCCGGACCTGACAACTGTCAACTTGAATTTCCGTTTCAAAGGAGTTGGTTAGCAACAGTTCCAAGACTCGGTTATTGCACACACCTACAGAGAAAGGGCCCAAGGCCTCGGCTGCCCTCACCGCCGCCGCTGCCATTACCGCTGCTGCTGCTGCTACTGTTGGTTTACGGTCCTTGGGCTGGGCTGCTGTGAGTATGGTCCTAAACTGTGAGGACTCCCCCCTTTGGGGGGAGAATCCTGATTATGAGTCCAGCGTGGTTACCCCAGCGCCACCACACAGATACACAAAGAGCAAATATACAGGATCTTCACCCTCCTCGACTCCAAAACTATCAAGGTACGACAGTGAGTTTGAGCAAAATCCGAGACAAAGATAATGACTTCAGTTTGGTGGATTGGACAAACATGTCTAATTCAAATGGACTCCGAGGGCATGGGGTGGACTCCAAGGATCCTGGGCTTCCGGATGGCATCGGCTACCACGTAGACTTAGTCTGCCTGCCCGTCTTGGTAGTAGTGACAACCGCCGTGTCAGTGTCAGCATCCCTACCCCAGTCTCTTGTTTACTGCCTTTGAACAGACCTTCCTTACCCCTGTGCTTTGGGTCACTTCGGGTCGCAACCTTGTCTGCTGGATTGCCTGGTGGTCTGACCTGTGGGACACAAAGGGCATGGGGGGCTTAAAGAACAACCAAATGCTGCAGGGCAAGGCAGGGAATGGCCTCGACCACTCTGTTCCACCCCGGGGCAGGGGCTGGGCTCTGTGGCTAGACATTAGCGATGAGCGGAGTGAATCTGACCCCTTTTTCTGGTCCACTGGCACTCTTCCCTCCCCCGCCCCCCCCCCCAGAGTGTCAACTGGCTAAGCAAGTGAGGCGCTTCAGAGGGCCTCTGGGTTCTGGGCCTCTGGGCAGTTGGCACCTGCTTTGAACTCGGCTGTATCCACTAGGTCCTGTCTGCCTCGAAGCCCTGTTGTCTGTTACTATGGCTGGTTAGCAGGCCCCTTCACTAGGCAAGCCCCATGGCAGTCTTTATCGGGCAGCTAGCTGTCTCTTCTAAGATGTTCATCAGTCTACAGGGAGGACGAAGAAACCCCATTAGCCTCTCCCAGGGCACTGTCCATGTTGTAGATGGCACCCTTTCCAGACCAGAGGCAGTTCTGTTGCCCACTTCCACTACCCCTCCTTAGGGAGGCAGAAAGGACTCTGTAACTCAGTCTGACTATGGTACCCTTCCCATCAACCCTGGCTGCCTTCCACCTCATTCCCTCTCATCACAAGACACAGGCTAATGTGCAAGGAAAGTATTTTTGTGTATCATTAAGTGTATTTTGAAACAAGTAAAGAGAAGAAAGAGGGAATGCTCGTTTACTTTATTAACTGGGCTCTGACTTTGTAAATGGTGTGAGAGTCTTTGTGATGTAAGGACCACACGTTCATTGGAGAAACCAGCCACCCAGGTTCCTGGGCATCGGTATTGGACTCTGTGTGTGTGTGTGTGTGTGTGTGTGTGTGTGTGTGTGTGTGTGTGTGTGTGTACAGCACATTGCTGTGCACATATGTGTGCATGTGTGCATGCATGGACACCCTGTGGGACTTGCTAAGATTTCTAAAGAGTCAACTGCCTGATTCTACAGGAATGTTGGGAACAGGTTAGACTTGGGGTTTCCTTGCCATTGCCACATATGGCCCACCTATGCCCATGCCTGAAGCTCTGTGGAACCATGTGTGATCTCTGTAGTAAGGTCCTTGAGGCAACTTTCCCATGCCCTTGGCCTAGCTGGCCACATTGGCCCAAGAGCCAGAGGTGTTGGAGTCGGGGACCCTTGGTTGTTCTTTAAGACTCTTCCTGCCGCCTTCCCTCGAGGATGCACACTTGTGCTCCATCCAAATCATTTGGGGGTGGCGGTGGGGAGGGTGATTTGAATGTCACAGAAGGAGACACCCTTCTGTCTTTGTTTCAAAGAAAGTGATGTGCCATTTGTTAATATACAAGAGAAATATTGAAAATATATTGAAAAGAGCAATTTTAAATTATTTTTGGCTTATGTTGCAATATTTATTTTCTTGTATTAGAGAAGATTCCTTTGTAGAGAAAAATGTATTTTTCATTACGCAAAGACCTATTTCTCCTTTTTGTACATTGTCCTTGTTCGCAGCCCTTAACAAGCAATAGAATGTCCGGTCACCCCCACGTGGCCAGTGCCCACTGTACCCTGCATGATTGTGTTGCTGCTGCTGCTGCTGCTGCATAGTTTCCAGCCCTGTCCTGTCCTGCTCACTCACTGGGGCTTCTGGATTGTGACCCTGCCAGGGCCTATGTCTAAGGAGCCCTTTGCACTCCTGTGTGTTGGAAATTCAGTTAATAAAGCGATGTTTTCTGTGCTGGCTGTGAGGTTTTGTTGCACTGGGTGGGTAGGAGACCTGGGAATCCATTGCATGCTTACACAGTATGCTCAGTAAGTCCTGAGTTCCAGAGGTGCTTGTTGACAGTACACTCCATGGACTGTGCCTGATCCTCGATAGGGAGTGTCTTTGATCTTTAGTGTTAGCCCCTAGCATTCAGGGTCAGGGATGAAGGGGTAACCCAAAAGCACAACTCACTAGAAAGTATGGGAAGTGGAGATTTCTTCCTAGGCTTATGTTTCATTATTGCTCAGCCCCTACTCCTTGCCATGCTCCGAGATTGGTCTAGGGAATGGCTTCTGGTGCTGGCCGAGTGGGGGCAGACACAGCACAGGGAAGGTGCCTCTGAGGAAGTGACATCATTCCTTCCTTTAGCAGTTAGTATGCTGACCACGTACTGCTGAAGTGCTGTGCCACCCAACCTCCTGATGGAGACCCAAGGAACCAATAGAAATTGGTTCAACCTGGGAGGTGGGATGATCGGAAATTCAAGTTTGGGGGGTGCTTGGGAGATACTTGTCATCTGAGGTCAGCCCACAGAAACATTTCAGAAAAGACAGACCTGGTACACTTGTGACCCTGAGGACAGTTGCCTGCACTGTTGCACATACACTTTTTCAAAATTAAAAATCCAGCCGGGCAGTGGTGGCATACACCTTTTAATCTCAGCATTCAGGAGGCAGAAGTAGGCAGATCTCTGGTTTTGAGGCCAGCCTGGTCTAGAGTGAGTTTCAGGACAGCCAGGGCTGTTACACAGAGAAACCCTGTCTTAAAAAACCAAAAAGAAAAAATAAAATCTGGACAACAGGACAGCATCAACTTGATGATTCCACGTTTTTTTGATACTTTTTTCTTACTATGTAACCCTGGCTGTTCTTGAAATGATGTGAGGTAATAACAATAGTGAGATAAAGTGAAGTGAATTGTTTGTTTCTAGAATTTTCCTCTCAATATTTTTGGATAATGTTGAGCCATATGTAGCATACAGATGGCAGAACTGCCATGGACTGGGTACCATGGCTGTGTGAGCGGAGTGCATGCACAAATCCCTAGCACTGCCTTTAAGTCATGGGATATAGGGAGACACAATAGGTTGAAGCTATGACATCACCTAAGTGGTATGTGGCTCCAGGCCAGTCAGCACGTGTTAGGGTTCCCTTTGTAAGGATTTCTCTCCCTCTGAGACAGGTCTCCTATAGCCCAGCTGACCTGCAACTCCACGCAATTGAAGAGGACTTGGAACCCAACCCCCTGCTTCTCCCTCCTCAGTGCTGGGAGTACTGTGTGACCACTATACCTAGTTCCTGCAGTGCTGACTCATGTCACCAGTGCGTGGCACTATTGAGCTATTGAGTGGCACTGGGTTTAGGGGAAGAAAACTGGGTTGCTGGGGACACCCCTTGAATTGGCCATGGAGACCTCAGCCCTTTCCTTTTTTTTTTTTTTTTTTTTTTTTTTTTTGCTTCCCTGGCCATCAGCTGAGGCTTTGCCATGCACTCCCTCCATAATGCCTTGCTTCTCCACAGGCCACAGACTGAAACTTCCGTGAGGCAAATAAGTTGTCCACTTGGGTGTGTCCTCCCAGCGATGGAAGGCTGAATGACATATGATGTATAGCCTTTTCCTCTTTGGAGGCAAGATCTAACTTGCATCTGGGAATACAGGCATGAACTGCCATATCCTGATCATATGAGGGACTTAGAATAGTCAAAATTATAGAGACAGAAGCAAGATGGTTGTTGCCAGGGACTGGAAGTAGAAAGTGAGCACTTGCTTGGTGGGTGTAGTAGTAGTAGAAGTGGGTGGGGCCCAGGGGAGCTGATACCCATTGATGTTATGTACAGTATGTAAATGTGTGTATGTGTAATATGTAAATGTGATATGTAAATGTGTATTGTAATACGTAAATGTGTGATGTGTAAATGTGTATGTGTAATATGTAAATGTGTGTGATGTGTAAATGTGTATTATATGTAAACGTATGTATGTGTAATATGTAAATGTATGTGTAATATGTAAATGTGTGTCTGTATACTACTGTGCTGTACTTGGAAATATTGAGTTTCTTTTCTATTACACATAGTGTTAACCAAAAGATCAAGAAGTAATTATGTTATATCACTTGTCTCACAGTTTTGTAAAAACAAGGCATTGTAGAGGCTGGAGAGATGGTGTTCTTCCAAAGAACCCTGGTTGAATACCAGCATGCACATGGGTTCTCACAACCTTCCATAGTTCAGTCCCAGGGGATTCCATGCTCTCTTCTGGCCTTGGTGTACAGACACATGTAAACATAACACCCATACACATAAAATAAAAATGCAAAAAGTAAAAAATGGGACAGAGAGATGGCTCAGCAGTTAAGAGCACTAGCTGCCTTTCCAGAAGATCCAGGTTCAATTCCCAGAAACCACATGGCAGCTTATAACTGTAGGAGCCTGTAGCTCCTGTTTCAGGAGGTCTGACACCTTCACACAGACATACATACAGGCAAAACACGAATGCACATGAAAATAAAAATAACATGCCAGGCAGTGGTGGTGCACACCTTTAACCCCAGCCCTCAGTAGGCAGAGGCAAACGGATCTCTATGAGTTTGAGGCCAGCCTAGTCTATGAAGTTCCAGGACAGCCAGAACTCTTAAACAGAGAAACTCTGTCTCACAAACAAACAAAAACCCACAACCACCAACATAATAATGTTATACAGAAGCACTGTGCTACATACAATGCCACACAACTGCTTTGCTGCAATGACAAATACACATTAGACAAAGGACACCATCCTGAAACATGAAAGGAGTTCATGCTGGAGACTGGGGTGTAGCTAAAGGGCAGAGGAATCACCTAGTATGTGATGGGAGATGTCATTCTATAAATACATTTCTCTTATTGGTTAATGTATAAAGCCCTGTTGGCCTATAGGAAAGCAAGATAGGCAGGACTAGGAGATAAGGAGGACTCTGAGAGATGATGTAGTAGAGAGGAGTCAAAATGTAGAACCAAGAGGAATAAGAGGTTTGGACCCTCTCTCCGGTAAGATAAGACCACGTGGAAACACTTACATTTATAGAAATGAGTTAATATTTAAGACAGAGCTAGCCAATAAGAATCTCTAGCCATTGGCCAACAGTTTCGTAACTAATATAGCATCTATGTGTGTTATTTGGGGCTGACTCGGCTGTGGGACCAGGCTGCCTAGAAAGTGCTTGTAACAAGTATGTGTGAGGCCCTGATTCCACTCCCAGCACCTGAAAGAAATGAGGGAAGGTAATGAGTTAAGGCACCAGCCGTCAGCCCTGACAGATGGTAAAGAAAAGAGCTCACTTCTGCAAGCTGTCCTTTCTCCTCCACACATGTGCCTTGGTGCACACATGGCATGCGTGCACACACGATAATAAATAAAGTATAATATAAATATTTGAAAAGAAAACTAACTATTGGGCTGGAGAAATGCCTCCTCATCAGTTAAGTGTGTTTGCTGTGCTTGCAAAGGACCCAAGTTCAGTCCCCATCCAGCACCCCATCAGACAACTCACAACTATCTGTAACTGCGTTTCCAAGGGATACAACATTACCCCTCCTTCTCTAAGCCCCACAGGCATGCACACACAGACATAATTTTTTTTAAAAAAAAATCTTTTCCTTCCTTCCTCCCTTCCTCTCCATATATATCCCAGCTGTCCACCATGTCCAGCCAAAAAAGAAATCTTAAAATAAATAAATAAATGGGACCTTCCTTAGCACACTGGCAACTCCCTTAAGGTTTCCCAACTTCCAAACTTCATCTCAATGTTCCCTTTTAATTGCTAAGCCCATGCCCACCTACCTGGCTTTCTGCAGATTGCTTTACAGAATCCTTCTGACCCAGGGGTGAGAAGCTCTCCCAATTCCAGCCCCTGAGGTAGAGCTCATACTAGGATACCAGGCGTTTTCGTTACTGTGCTATTTCCATGAAGAGACATCATGACTATGGGAACTTACAAAAGGAAGCATTTATTTGATGGCAGGGTCACAGTTTCACAGGGTTAAACCATGATCGTCACTAACTGGGCAGCAAGCACTCAAGTACACGAGCCCATGGAGACCATTCTTATTCAAATCACCATACCAGGGGAGAGCTTTCTATGTTTTTAGTTGTGTGTGTGTGTGGGAGGGGGGGGTGTTGCCTGCATGTAAATATGAGCATGTCCCTGGTGCCCACAGAGGCCAGAAGAGGGAGTCAGAGCTCCTGAAACTGGAGTTGTGAAGATTGTGAGAGCCACCGTGTTTTCTGAAAGAACAAGTGCTCTTCCAACCTCTGAGCCAACTCTCCAGGCTCACTAGAAGGATTTTTAACCTGAGACCAGCAGGATGAGGTGGCTAGCTGGCAGATGGAACTAGATGAACCTCCAAACTATACGTGGGCAGGAAAAAGACAGGGAGTTTTTAATCCAAGCAGCCTGGGTCTTTAACCAATCAGAACACTACATGGACCCTGACTCATCTGTTGCTGGGTAAAAAGGCCATTGAAAGTATAGGATTGGTCAAGGGAGTGATTATGTAGTGCAAAGCTTACCAGGTCTGGGGACTTTCAGTGTAGATCACTTGTCTAACATGTATGAGGTCCTTGGTTCCATCCTCAAATAATGCTGGGGGTGGGGGTGGGAGCGACAAATGGGAGTGAAGCCATGTGAGTGGCTGGGTTCCAGCCCCAGTACTGGGGTGGGGGTGGAGGAGTGGAGGCAGGAGGATCACAAAAGTTCAAGGTCATCCTCTACTGAATGTGGAATTTGAGGCTAGCATAGGCTACATGATATTGTAAATAATAATAATAGCAATAAAATTAAAAAGTCATGTGTGGCTGTTTGAGGGGTGAGGAAAAACAGGGAACAGGGCCCAGGGGTGCTGGAAGGCTGACATCCAGGAGGCCTGGGCTGCTCTAGTGGGTCTTGAGTGTTCTGAGTGGCATCCATTCCAAGGTAGGCTGGTGCTGAGTCC